AATTATAACTAGGACAGACGTCTGTAATATCACGTATAGATTGGGAGTATAAGTTTACAGATAGAATTATAACTAGGACAGACGTCTGTAATATCACGTATAGATTCGGAGTATAAGTTTACCTATAGAATTATAACTAGGACAAACGTCTGTAACATCACGTACATATTTGCAGTATAAGTTTACCTATGGAATTATAACTAGAACAGACGTCTATAATATCACGTAGAGATTTGCAGTATAAGTTTACCTATATAATTATAACTAGGACAGACGTCTGTAATATCACGTATAGATTGGTAGTACAAGTTTACCTATTTAAGTATAACTAGAACAGATGTCTGTTATATCCCGTATAGATTGGGAGTATAAGTTTACCTATATAATTATAACTAGAACAGATGTCTGTAATATTGTAATGCGGGTTTACCTCTTCCGGAAATCGGGGTCCGGTCCCCGGATTTGATGTTAGACGCGGAAGCACGTTATCCGGTGTTCGTTGAGTTTTACCGCCATTAAAAGGTTGCACTGAAAATTCGGACGATCTTTGTGTTGTTATTGAAGAACACAGCCAGCCATCCGGCATAACAAGTGGTGTCAGAAGTGGGATTTTGCTTATACGCCCTGCAGGGAGTCCAAAACCCGTTTCTTTTTGTGTAATGTATTGCAATTCGTACCTCAAAGTGGACAGAGGTCTGCTACAGGTAATCGCGCTGCATTTTGTGTTTGTGGGTTGTTACTCGTCATTTAAATGATTATTTTGTAATTTGATTACTATAACTCATTTATTACTTTCACAAAGTAAGAGCACAATAACTAATTTACTTGGTTTGGGTAATTTACTGTTTTGTGTGCCTATATTTAGCCTTTGTTCTTGTACTTTCGTTTTACATGTATTTTCGTATTGGTGTTCACTGCGAACACTGGAATTGCTTCCAAACGAATCGTTCACTGCGAACGGTCAAACATTATCTTTCAGAGGTCGGAGAAGGATCTCGTAGACTACCTTAAATCACACAACGTGACAATACCACCTCACGAGGCTGATTTGACCCCCCTGCTAGTATCCGACAGCAAAGGAAAGCGCCTTGCAGTGGTACACAGGGGCAGTAATCCAAAACTTCCGATACAGTTCTCATGTAAAGGTGGTGCAAACTCATCAACCCTAGTATCCCTACTAAAAGAACAAATTCCCATCCTCAAGCAGAAATTTGGTAAACCTGTTTATGTTTATTTCTGGGCTGGTACATGCGACATAACCTCAAAGCAAGGCTGTTATATAAACATTTCTGGTACCTGTGTTAACACTATACACAAAATTATCAACTGCTACAAAAGAGCGAGGGACTACACAATAAAACAGGGGTGCAAAATTCAATTTATTGGAGTACCTGTTTATTCGGTTAGCCTTTACAATGATATCCAAGGTCACCATAATCCGAGCAAGTTTCTAGAAACAGATGCTGAAGTTGCCAGCCAGGTACACTTCTTGAACTCTCAAATTGAACTTCTCAACACAGAACTTGGTACCACAACACTTAAATTCAATGCTGATCTTCGTGATTGTCGAAAAAAGGGAAAAGAGCGATATTTCATAGAATTATTGGAGGACGGTCTCCACCCTGGGGAACTCTTGGCGAGGAAGTGGTTTAGGCGACTTGAATTAAATATTGTGAAAACTTGTTTTGTGGACCAGGACATT